ACACACACGCTTACACACACACACACGCTTACACACACACACACGCTTACACACACACACACTCACTTTAGACATGAGCTAATTAACCTACCAGCATGTCTTTTGAGTGTGGGAGGAAACCCATACAAGTAAAGGGAGAACATGTAAACTCCATGCATATAGTGAGTAGAATTGGCTGTGTCCTGTTAAAGATTTCTCTTCACTTTCTGTCTTGGAGATGCAGCAGGAAGTGTCAACAAATCTCCCCAAAGTGAGGAGAATTCCCAGCTTAGACAGTTGTCACCAGAAAATCATTGGAACCCCATTGAAAGATTTCCCCTCACCTTTTTGCTCTCAGGATGTCTCTAAAATTTAGGATTCTTTCTTGGTTACAATGGTCTCCAGGGTACACAGGAGAAAAAAAAAATTGGCAGGGGTTCAACCCTTCCCTACTGAAAATAGGGGGGAAAAAGTTTTTTGTTTACATACACTTTTTTTTATTCTGAGATTAAATGTTTGTTCCAGGATTTGGCTATGACAGATCTGAATGTTGTACGAACAAAAGTGATTAGTATATTTGTGTGTTTTGTCTTGGGAGTTTCTAGTGAAACCAGCTAACCATTCAGGGTCCTCCTAACCTTCTTATATGGAATTGTATTGTAGCTCTACGGACTCCCTTTTGTTTTTTTGTATAGTGTTACGCAAACCGTTGGTGCTTTATCAATCCCGTATTATTATATAATTAACAACAACCAGGGGCTCAGAGGAAAAGGTTTGTGTTTGAGAAGAAATACATTGAAAAGGTTGGACATTTCAGCACTAAATTGATAATACGTCTAAGTAGATTTGGGCCTGGTAGTGGACACAAAGATTGGCACTGAAAGGGTAAAGTGTAATGCCAGGCAAAACACTTCTTTCTTTTTACTTTGACTGGAGAGAGGAAGTGTTAGAACTTGTCACGGTTTTATTTTTGGGCCTGTTTTGGCACATTTCCTTTTTATTTGCTCTTTCTTTGACAATCTTTGACAATCTTTGCAAACTCGCAATAACAAATTCCATAAGAACAAGAAAAAAACCTTTTCATAAGCAGTGCGTGATCTCCAGGCAGTGACTTTACCTTGGCTGAGCTGATGCCATTGGTCTTCTGCGGAAAGGAGGAAGCATGTCCTTAGGCCGCGTTCGCATAAGCTGTCAATTGCTGTGTCATGAACCTGCAGATTTGTTAGAAAGGATTCTCTGGTGGTTCTGGATAGCTGTGACTGAAATGACAGGTTGGCAGTGGCCACATCTGTCCAGCGATGTTCAGATGTAATTGCACATGGGGTGATTACCTGCTGTCAGAGACATGACCATCCCAGGGCACCAGCTGCATGCATCACGGATGCAATCGTCTGTCTCTAACTGCAGGTAATCACTCCATGTATGATTACATCTGAACACCAGTGGGCAGCTGTGGCTGCTGTCAGCCTGTCATTGCTTTGTATAGTATGAGTGACCATAGCTGTCTGCAACCATCTATGATTCCTTTTGTAAGAATTGGCAGATTCTTTCTGCAGGAATTCATATTATGCAAGAAAATTGTGTGACCTCTGAGAAATAATATAAATGCTGATCAGCAATAACATTCTGGCCACTGAGAGGTGAAGTGAATAACATTGATTATCTGGTTACAATGGCACTTGTAGTAGGTGGGATATATTAGGCACCAAGTGAACATTTTGTCCCTGAAGCAGAAAAAAATGTGCAAGTGTAAGGATTTGGATGACTTTGACAAGGGCCAAATTGTGATAGCGAGACGAGAGGGTCAGAGCAACTCCCAAAACTGCAGCTCTTGTGGGATGTTTCCGGTCTCCGTTGATCAGGATCTACCAAAAGTGGTCCAAGGAGGCAAAACCCTGGTGACAGGGTCATGGGTGGCCAAGGCTCACTGATGTACGTGGTAAGTCAGGCTGGCCTGTGTAGTCTGATCCAATAGAAGGGCTACTGTAGCTTAAATTACTGATTGTTAATGCTGGTTCTGATAGAAAGGTTTCTGAACACAAAAGTGCGTCGCAGATTGTTGTGTTTGGGGCTGTCTAGCCAAAGGCCGGTCAGGGTGCCCATGCTGACACGTGTCCATCACATAAAATGCCTACAGTGGGCACATGAGCATCAGACCTACGCCACAGAGCAATGGAAGAAGGTGATCTGGTCTGATGAATCGCATTTTCTTTTCTTTTCTTTTCTTTTACATCATGTGGATGGTCGGGTGTGGGTGAGTGTCACTTTTCTGGGGAAGAGATGGCACCAGGATACACTATAGGTAGAAGGCAAGCCGGCAAAGGCAGTGTGATGCTTAGAGCAATGTCCTGCTGGGAAACCTTGGGTCTTGCCATTCCTATGGATGTTACTTTGACGCGCACCACCTACCTAAACATTGTTGCTGACCAAGTACACCCCTTCTTGAAACGGTATTCCCTGATGGCAGTGGCATATTTCAGCAGGATATTGCGCCCTGCCACGCTGCAAAAAATGGTTCAAGAATAGTTTGGGGAACGCAACAATGAGGTGTTGACTTGGTCTCCATGCGTGAGGTGGGGAGGAGGTGCGGCTGCGCAGCGTGTGTGGAGCTGTGAACAGGGCCAACTGATCGGAAGCCGATTAATCGATTATTGCAAAAGTTGACAACTTTTGCAATAATAGATTATAATCGATTATGTCGATTAGTTGTTGCAGCCCTAAAATTCTCCAGATCTCAATCCAATTGAGCATCTGTGGGATGTGCTGGAAAAACAAGTCCGATCCATGGAGGCCCCACCTCACAACTTACAGGACTTAAAGGATCTGTTAAAGGATCTAGTGGAGGCCATGCCTCCATGGGTCAGTGCTGTTTTGGCAGCAAAAGGGGGACCTACTCAGGCAGGTGGTCATAATGTTATGGCTGATAGGTGTATATGTACACGTTTCACATGCATATTAATTACCATGCATGCACTTAACATGAATAACGTATGTGATGCTACTCTGTGTCCACCTTGTATTTCTGACATCGGAGCCCCGGCCGCCATAAGTCAGAAAAAAATAAATAAATCAGCATTGGAATGCATAGCTACATTCCTATTGGCTATTTCACTTTGCAATAGCAAACTAGCTATGGCACCCGCCCACTGCTGCTGTCAATCAGCAGAGGGGGACCTGCAGTTCTCCATCAGGTCCCCATCTAGTGATTATCCTCATTATTATTAATAATAAAAGCTGACACCCTCGCCTTGTGTTATATGATTTGCCATTTTAGCTGTTACAGTAGTGGTTCTCAACCTGTGGGTCGCTGTGTGATTTCTGCTGTGCTAGGTGAGAGTCCTCCTCAGCCCTCTCCTAGCGCAGCAGTGTCGGTTCTCCCGCCACGCCGCCAGATGTCGCTGCAGCAGCCGCCGCGTCAACCCTAAGGCCCCGTTCACATGTAGCGAATTATCGCCGCGATATCGTGCATTTTTGCCGCGCGATATCGCGAGAAGTCGCCGGCCAATGCTATTCAATGAAGCTGTCTTAACTCCATGTCGCGGTCGCAAGTCGCTTCTACCGGACCCTTTTTTCGGCGGGTTTTGCGCGATTTTGCCCTTTTTCTATGGAGCCCGACGGAGAAGGTCGCGCTACCGTCGCTGGAACGTCGCCCCGAAAGTCGCGCTATCCCGGCCGTGCGGATCCGCTGCAAAAGGTATGTCGCTACGTGTGAATTGGGTCTAAATTTTACCGTTGGGGCTCACCACAACTTGGCAAATGTTACCAAGGGGTCCCGGCCCTAGAAAGGTTGAGAACCACTGCTCTATGATATCCCGAAATGTCAGCTTGTGATGCCTGTTGCTTGATGTGAATAAAGGACACTGATTATCACTATACCAATGTGTGCTGGTGAAGATCCTTGTTTTCCTATGATTGTATGATGGCGCCATCCAATTCACTACAGCACCATGCATGAACTGTGAGCAAGCCTGTAAGGTGTGTGACGGATAAACCTCTCGGCAATGAAAACCGGGGAGATGTTCTAACCCTTAACAACTAAAATCTAAAAAGAAATATTGGCGTGAGCTTCACTTTGAGTTAACCATCAAAAGATAAACACAGCTGTTTAATCATATTCAGTACAAAGTGTACGGAGCGTGTGCAAGCATGTGATGTGTGTTCTGCTTGATGCAAATACATCAGGAGTCCCACCTCTGGTGCATACACACGCTTCATAGAATGTTTATCACTGAATCGTTACCTGACAGCATGTGTCCTGTATACTGTCTGTCCCCTCATGTAATGCTCTGTTCTCTTTCAGGGTCTGTGGGGGTGACAGCACCCAGTGTCGGGGTGTGACGGAGGCAGGATGGTGTGTGAATTTTTCCTCCTCTCCTCCATCTGGTTCGTGGTGGTTATATTTTGGATGGAAACGATCAGTATGTGGCTTTTTCTATGCCATCTATTCCAGGACCGAGCCATGTACCAGTGGGGAGACAGGTGTGTGTTGGGGGGGGGCTAATTACAGGGTCTATTACCTGAGAACGGCTTGTATTAATGGTGGACCTCCCACTATAGAGCACACACTGCATAACAGTCCTCTTCTGTTTCTTTCTCAGGATTTACGTCTCCCATCCTGACCAGATCATGTACGTAATTATTAGGTGAGTGAGCACAGTGTGTGCACAGCATTTCACTGCCAAGTAATCATTTTCCAGATTTAGAGACTTTCACAAATAGACTGGGCTAGTATAAACCTTGTATAGAGGGGGTATAAATAGGGAATATCAAATTGTTGGGGAATCGCATACATTATAATAATATACCTAATGCAGGAGAAAACAGTTTTTTGTATTTCTGCCACCTCAAAGAGTGTTGTGTGTCTGGTTGGTATGCTCAGTGAGTAGCAGGGTGACAACTATTTTACTCCATCTTGAAGTGCAGTAGAATATCAAACTACTCCTCAACAGAGGCAGCAGACAACTCTCATTCATAATCCAGGGCAGGCATCCTTTTTGTCTTCCGCAATGTCCTTCCCTCTGATTATGGTAATAATGTATCTCCATAATGCATTGCATTCAGATGCAGTTGTAGGTCCTGTTTTCCAGCCCCGCCACCTCCTAGGTGCAGTTCAATCCATCTTTAGACCACTTTTGGGGAACGTAGTTTTTCCCCATAGGCAGTGTAGACGGTGTGATTTTTATTGCCTCATCTCCACGGGCAGTAGAGAACATTTTTAATTCCACCTCCAATAGAAGAACATAGAAAATATTGGAATACTTTTGCATTACGTTACTTAGGTCATAGTTTGAGATCTGGAACAACATATCTCAGACTTTAGTCCAATTATATTTTTTTAGCATGCTGGCAAATATGTAACAATATAATCTGGATCATGGACTTTCTAAAAGGAACGGTGCAACTTGTCTGGCCATGCAAAGCCAGACAAGTTGCTACTCAAGTCAGTAGTGATGGTTGTGGTGCATAAGCAGTCACTTTAATTAAATATAATAATCCATTATACAGCAATGCAGAATAATGTTAAGCTTCAATACTCTGTGTTGCTCACTAGGGCTGTGCAGTGTCTCGGGGGTGCACGGTCTGATCAGGGCTGTGTGGGGGTCTCAGGCGGATGTGCAGGTCTTGCTAGGGCTGTGCGGTGTCACCAGGGTTACGTGCAGCTCTCTCTCTAGGGCTGTGTGCAGTCTGCCCATGGCTGTGTGGACAGGTGCATGTCTTACCAGGGCTGTTCCAGCTCTCCCCATGGCTGCTTGGACGGGTGTGGGTCTTACCAGGGCTGTTTCCG